TACACACACACACGTTTCCCCCCTCTTGTCCTTGGCAATTCAATCATGGAATAATGTGGCTGGAAACCTCTCCTCTATGTATTCATGTAACAAGGCTAGGCTAGTGGGTGTTATTGTATGTCCTTGAAATGATGTAGATGCTATCAGTTTCACTGCCGGCTGTCAATGCTGAACATTTGAATGAGGTGGAGGAAAAAAGATGGTTTTGTATGACTGTAGGTGAAAGCTGGAGCAGGTATGGTGACGACTGGAGTTGTGGGAAATCTGCCCATTTTTATGGCCTCCTTTTTTTATGGCCTCCTGGTGCCTTTTTCTATTGTCACCAAAGACAGGATTGTAGACGGAAGATGGTGATGAACAATAGCAAATTGATATGCTTGCATAATGGAACCAAGGAAAGGGAAATGTGGCTGACAAGAGGTAAAATGAAGACGTGTCAGCAAGTATTAATAGTTGTCTGCAGTTTTTCCAGTATGACGGACTCTCTTAAATTCAACATCTACCTCTTGTGTGACACATTACAGATCTAACGGCCTTTTGAGGGTATAAAAAAAAATGGCTGCATATATTTTAGATATGTTTGCAAAGCATCAGTTGGATATAGTGTTTTGAAAACAAATCATAGTTTGTGTGTAGGTTTCCTCTGCAGTTAGAACAGAAGTCTTTTGTGCTAAAGTCATATGACAAACATGATAAATGGGCATAATTCCCCACCTCGTGCTCATATTGTTCCCAGACTGACCCAAAACAAGTCTCAACGCCACCCCTTGACCTCAACGCACCTCCCCCCTGAGCACCCACAGTCAATCATGTATTACATTGTGCATTAACCTGCCATTGACCTCTGTATGCTAAACCCAATTGCCATATTATCTCCATCGTAATGTTCTACTCTTAGTTATCTTCCTACTGAATCAGATTTTGTGTTCCACTTTTCCCTCGGGCATAAAAAATGTCTCAAATGATTGCTAGGTACTGGAAGGGTGTGAGAATGGGGGGTTGTTTCATCTAAATCACCAAAATCTGGTAGAAGCATAGCATTAGATGCATTAGTAAAGAGAGGAGATGATATTTTCTTCTGCTGCTGGAGAGGAGAGTTTCAGATTAGGGTGTAAAACAGAGTCTTTATTGGTATTTTTTTCCGTTATAAATAACTATTTATTTTTTATTTATCTTTTTTAAATGTAGCTTGTTCGAAAAGCCACATCTTACACTTGACACTTGTAATGTCTGTAATTATCACTAACTGGCTTGAACAATTATTCCTTTTGTTATTACGACCACTATGCTGGACTCATGCTGCCACAAACGTGTCTACTTAGCCCCCTAATACCCAGAATAATGATAATCCTGTGAAAATGTTTTGAAGTCAAAATAATGCTAATAACTCTAATGATGAAGCATGCTCAGAAATCCCTCCCCGCCATCCCATTGTCTCCCGTGGCGGAGGAGCTGCCCCCCCCCCCCCCCCGGCCCCATGGGAAATCTGTAATGTATTCAGCCAGGCCTTGGGAGTAAAATGAAAACAAATGTGGTGTAATAAAGGAGAGAAGATGAAGCGATTCTGTGATGATGCTCTCCACCAGCCTTATAAATCAAAATAAAAGTGGAGCAGGTCATATGTGCCCCCGCCCTCACTGGAAATACACGCAAGATATATATATATTGTGTGTGTATTTCCAGTGTGTGTGTTTATGTATATGTGTGTACGTACATATATACATACATATGTACATATAAATGAAATGTGTACAAAAA